GGGTAGGGCTACTCAGGTGCTAGTTTGTGACGCTGTATGTGGGGGCGGGGTCAGAGAGGAAGCAATAGCGGTCCCCTCTGCTGCTTCCTGCCTCTGGGGCCTGCCCGATCTGTCTCACTGCTGGCTCCTTCGCTGGTTTCTCTGCACGCAAATGTGTGACCATGGTCAGCCTGCTGTCTTGCCCCTTCACTGGGTCCACCCCTCGCTACCCCACACCTAGGATCCACCCTTGGCTGCCTGCGAGCCTGGGTCAGGGGGTCTTTTGTGCCCAACCAGCTCTGCTCTTGGCTCTGCCCCTCTTACTGGTCTGGCTGAGTGGTTCGTTGTTGTTGGACTCCTGCATTGTTCAATTTTTTTAGTTTGGCTGCGTTTTTTTTTGTTGCTAATAAGCTTTGTTGATTTTAGACTTGGTTGTGCGAGAAGGCACAATGTTTCCACCTACATCTCCATCTTGGCGGAAGTCCCCCCAATTACTGTATTACTTTAAGAGACTTCTTTACCAGATCCTATTTGTGTATTAAAACAAAACAAAGTCTGAGAACAAATTTTTACAACTCTAGTTCTTCCTTGCAGTTTCAGCAATTTCTAGTTTCTCGGTGTCCATGTCAGGGAGAATTCCAAGAGATGGGTGTAAACTCACCCTAGACCACATAATTCAGGGTGCATTCAGAAACATTTCCATTTCATTGTAAGCACATCTGATAACAATGTTTTCTGTAATGATGTGCAACAGGTCTTTCAAATTCAGTCATTTCATGGGTAGACTAAATTTAGGCAAATGTAATTTCTAAATATTAAGACAAAAACAAATACCATAATAAGCTTTCTTTAAAAATATTTTATTGATTATGCTATTACAGTTGTCCCATTTCCTCCCTTTATTCCCCTCCACCCTGCACACCCTCTCCCACCCACATTCCCCCCTTTAGTTCATGTCCTTGGGTTATACATATAAGTTCTTTAGCTTCTACATTTCCCATATTATTCTTACCCTCTGCCTATTTTCTACCTACCATCTATGCTCCTTATTCTCCGTACCTTTTCCCCTTCTCCTCCTCCCAATCCCCTGCTGATAACCCTCCATGTGATCTCCATTTTTATGGTTCTGTTCCTATCGTAGATGATAGCTTAGTTTGTTTTTGTTCTTGTTTTAGGTGTGGTTGTTAATAACTGTGAGTTTGCTGTCATTTTACTGTTCATATTTGTATCTTCTTTTTCTTAGATAAATCGCTTTAACATTTCATATACTAAAAGCTTGATGATGATGGACTCCTTGAACTTGACCTTATCTGAGAAGCACTGTATCTGCCCTCCCATTCTAAATGATAGCTTTGCTGGATAGAGCAATCTTGGATGTAGGTCCTTGTCTTTCATGACTTGGAATACTTCTTGCTAGCCCCTTCTTGCCTGTAATGTCTCTTTTGAGAAATCAGCTGACAATCTGATGAGAACTCCTTTGTAGATAACTGTCTCCTTTTCTCTTGCTGCTTCTAGGATTCTCTCCTTCATTTTAATCTTGGGTATTGTAATTATGATGTGCCTTGGTGTGTTCCTTTTTAGGTCCAACTTCTTTGGGACTCTCTGAGCTTTCTGGATTTCCTGGAAGTCTATTTCCTTTGCCAGATTGGGGGAGTTCTCCTTTATTATTTGTTCAAATAACTTTTCAATTCGTTGCTCTTCCTCTTCTCCTTCTGGCACCCCGATGATTCGGGTGTTGGAATGTTTAAAGATGTCCTGGAGGTTCCTAAGCCTCTCCTCATTTTTTTGAATTCTTGATTCTTCATCCTTTTCTGGTTGAATGTTTCTTTCTTCCTTCACGTCCACACCATTGATCTGAGTCCCAGTTTCCTTCCCGTAGCTGTTGGTTCCTTGTACCTTTTCCTTTATTTCACTTAGCATATTCTTCATTGTTTTCTCTATTTTGTGACCATACTCAACCAATCCTATGAGCATCCTGACTACCAGCATTTTGAGCTGTGCATCTGATAGGTTGGCTCTTTGTTGCTTAGTTGTATTTTTTTCAGAGCTGTAATCTGTTCTTTCACCTGGGCCTTTTTTTTTTTTTTGTCTCCGAGCACCTGTTACATAATGCGGGGCGGGGCCTTAGGGGCTCACCAGGGTGGGGCAACCCATGTTGCTGCATTGTTACACTGTATGTGGGGAAGGGGTGTGAGAGGGAACAATGGAGCTTGCTCTGCTCTGTGCTGGATTTCAGTCACTTCCCCTGCTACCCACAATCAAATTGGGCCCCTCTGGGCTTGATTCCCGGGTGGCTGGGCTTGTGTACATTCTAGGACCCTGTGGGTCTCCCCAAGGAACTCACCTGTGAGGCTGGGAGTTTCTCCCTGCACCTCAACCCCTACAGGTGGGGGTTTTCTATCAGGTGTTTGAGGCTTTATTTCCCCGTGCCGGACCCCTGGATTTCGAGGTTTGTTTCCCTCCCCAATTGTTCCTCTGGGTTTATCTGCTCGGGAATATGGGACTGCCGGCTCCACCAGCCACTGCCTTGTCCGCCCTAGTCCTCCAGCCACTGCCGTGACAAGAGTCCTCTCTGCCCGGCTTCCCATCTCTGCCCCTCCTACTGGTCTTGAAGAATGTGTCTTCTTTATCTCCTTGGTTGTCAGAATTCCACACAGTGTGATAGTCTGTCAGTTCTGGTTGTTTTTTGTTTTTAAATTGTCATTGTCCTTTTTTTGGTTGTGAAAGGAGGCACAATGTATCTACCTACATCTCCATCTTGGCTGGAAGTCCCCATAATAAGCTTTGAACAAAGGAAAAACTAAGTCTTGAGAATGGCAGGATTGGCAAAGTTATACAGCTTGTACATGTGCCTGCATCAGCCACCCTAAGGCAAACCTCTTTGACTGTTATCTGCTTCCTTCACAACGTCCATACTCATTGTCTCCACTTTCTGATCAACTATTCACTCTTGTACCACCTTCAATCTGGCTACCTTCTCCACCACTCACAAATAAATGCATGCATGTCAAGATCACAACATCTTTATGTGGTCTAACCCAAAGGACACTTCTCTCCCTCCTTTTATACACACCTGTAAGCAGCATCCAACACCCCACCCCACCTTCTTCACTTTTTGTCCTGGCTTCTGATGTCTGGGTTTTCTCTACATTAATTTCCCCAGCTCCTCTGCTAGCTCCTCATCTTCCTCCCAAGCACTACTCTTACTTTCCTCTCTCCCTGGTGATTTCAATGTTCTCAGATTTTAAAGTATTTATAAGCCAAATGTTCCAATCTCTCCAGCGAGCTCCTGACTAGTAGACCCCACTGAGTTCTCAGCATTGAACAGCTTTGGGCATCTCAAACAGAATGCATGCAAAACTGGAAACTTTGTTTTCCTCTCCACAGTATGCCCCTCTCATACTCTGTGCTATCTCACCCAGATGTTCAAGTCAGAGGTGGAGAAATCATTCTGGGCACTCTCATTTTCCTCTTCTCCACATTTGATTGACACAAGGCCTGCTAGTCCCACGGCCAAAACATGACCCAAACAGGTCTGCTTCTTGTGTCTGTCACTGCCGCCACCAGGAACTCTGTTATAGATGACAGCAGTGTTCTAACCCTACTTACTGCTCTCTGTGTGCTGCCTGCATCCACCCAACACAGGAGCCAGAGCAGCACTATAAACCCACAAGACAGAGCATGAGCCTTCCCTGCTGAAGGCCCTGGCATGGCTTCCATAGCACTTGGAGTAAGGCTCTCGGACCTGGCTCCTGCCTGCTTTCCCTGCCCTTCCAGCCACACTGCCCTCTTCTCTGCACCAGCATGCCAAGCCCTTTCCTACCTCAAGGCCTTGCTGCATCTCCCAGAGGCATTATCCAACTCTTCACTGTGAATCACTGTGTTCCCTTCTCCCTACTTCTTACCACCTGTAACTAACTATGCACATGACAGTGTCCCTGCTAAGTGGAAGCTTTGTGCTAAGTGGCCCTGTCCACATGGGTATAGTTATCCCACTAGCCAAGTGAACAGATGTGAGAATAGCAGTGCTGGGTGGGGACTGCGGGGCTCCCGGCTGGCTCTCCTGAACAACGGATGAGTCAGCAGCCGTTAGCAGGTGAGCAGGGACTTCTCTAGGAGCTGCCTTGCTGCATGAAAGCACCATCCTCCAGGGTCACACTGGGCACTGCAGTTCCCTTAGACTTGGGCCTCCACGGGCAGCCACTGCGGGGCGGTGGGTTTATTCAGAAACAGTGACAACAGGGAGCCTGACCCTGCCGGGCAGGCTTCTGCACAGGCAGTGGCCTGGCCTCGGGGGCTGCAGTCTAAAGTGGGGGTGCTTCCTGGATGGCCGCCTGCCCACCTGTCTAGTTGTGGACTCCAAACACTTGGCTCTAGCCTAGAGGGGGCAGGATGAAAGCTTCCATTGCCATAGCAACCATAGTCCAAGGCCTAAGCTAGAGGTTTCAGATAAACAACTATTCAGAGAAGAAGACAAGGAACAAAGCAGAGAGGCACAAAAATGGAAAAAAGGCAAGAAGTAATCCTACAGGTGCCGTAAGACACTCTGAAAACAAAACTGTGGAGCTGGGAGTAGAACCCTCCCATAGGAGTGGCCTCCTGATGGGAGGGATCCTGAACAAAAGGCCCCATTGACACGAACATCTGTTACTGCTAAGGTTTTTTTTTTTTCCTTTTGACTTTAAAGGGTTACTGTCTGACAGGCTACACAACCCACCACCCTTCTCCAAGTCCCCAGCTACCACATGAAGTGACTATTAGAACTTCGAACAAAGAATTTGGTCCCCGAAGTGGCCCTGTGATAGTTTTTTCCTGAATAGAGAGACAGTAGAAAAATGTCAGAAGGCAAATCCAAACCTACACCCTGAAAGATTGAAAAGATCTTTGGGAGGATGAGTAACCTAGTCCAGTCTAATTTTAAAAGGACACAGCAGATTTAATACATGGCCTAAATGTGTACTGAAGGGAAGGAGGAGCAGGAGGGAGAGGAGCGAAGGTAGACGCATTACATGGTGCTTTACCTTAACACCTGCATCTCCTCCGGGGAGTTCTGCAACTCGTCTTGCAGGCGACGCCAGCGCAGGCAAGCCCGCAGCTCCTGCTGTTCCTGGGCCTCGTGGGGGACCAGCTGCTTAAACCACAGACACACAAATACATATGCACAATACATGGTTACTGTTGTCCTCCTGTAAGGTCAAAGCTACCCAGTGAAGCAGCTGGCCTTATGTAAGGGAGGATAGTAAACATGGGCTACCTGCTGCACCTTCCACCCCACCAGAAAAGCTGGGAGGACAAAGGGGCCTCTTAGGTCCTCAAAGGAAGAACCAACTGTTCTCTCTCTTGCTGCCCATTTGGGAGACACACCATGGTCCAGGAACCAGGCCCCCCTGCCACCGCTCCCCCCCCCCCCCGGGAGAGAGCAGGCCTCCCTAAAGGGCCATTTCCACTCTGATTCCAACCAGCCCTTTTCTGCGTTGTCTTCTGCACAGGGTGGGGAATGTCCCTCCATTTACCTCCTATTTCTCCAGCTCTCAATTTTGTTAAGGGCTGTTTATAGTAGAGCCTGCTAATGCAACCCAGACGACTCTGTGTGCATATAACCAGAAACAGTGTACTGCCTGGACTCAGTCTGTGGGAAGGGGAGGCCACTGCACCCTGCCTTCTGTCACTGTTGTGCTCACTAGGTCCCATGGCTATAATCTCCTTAAGGGAGGGCAGCAAAACATCCCCTGGGAAGGAAACGTCAGTACCCAGGGGCATTTCTGGGAATTAAAGGTCTTTAATAGTTCATTCAACAGACATTTACAGAGTCTCTGCTAGACCCTGGTGATATTACAGACACAGCCCCTACCCCATGGAATCTAGCATGTGGCAGGGGTGGAGGTGTGGGGGACATGGAATAAGAACACTAACATCAGAGTACAGTGATGACAGAGGTGAAGGAAGAAGCCGAATGCCCCCTGGCCAACCAGGGTGGTCAGAAGGCTTTCCCGAAAAGGTGGTAGGACCTGAGCTGGTCTCCAGGGAAAGCAGGAGACAAGCAGGGGAGGAGGAATTCAGGAAGAGGGAAAGCATGTGCAAGGCTCGTGGGGCCTGGAAAGAGCATGACATGGTTAAAGAATGACAAGGGATGCGGTCAGATAAGAAGCAGGCTGCCATCTGGGGAGGGACAAAGGTGCCGAGGAGTTAGCAGAGCCAGATAATTGACAAACTCTGTATGTCCTGTTGTTATGGACTGAGTTATGTCTCCCTACCCGAAATTCGTGTTGAAGCTCTCACCCTAAATGGGACTGCATTGGATATGGGGTTTTTATTTTTTATCTTCACCCAGTGATAATTGATTTTAGAGAGGGAGGAAGAGGGGTAGGTGGAGAGAGAGAGAGAAACTTCGATGTGAGAGAGAAACATTGATTAGATTCCTCTCATACACACTCTGACTAGGGATGGAACTTGCCGCTGGTTATGTACTCTAACCAGGAATTGAACTGGCAACCTTTTGGTATATGGCAGTGGTCTCCAACCTCTTTGGCACCAGGGACCAGATTCATGGAAGACAATTTTTTCACAGACTGAGGGCTGGGGGATGGCTTTATAGCCTGCCATCAGATATAGCTTAATTGTCACTTGCCATGCACTGATAGGGTTTTGATACGAGTCTGCACATAATCGATTTAGTATAGTCTCTGTGCCAACCTCTCTGCTAATGATAATCTGTATTTGCAGCCACTCCCCAGTGCTAGTATTACCACCTCAGCTCCACCTCAGAGCACCAGCATGAGATTCTCATAAGGAGTGCAAAACCTAGATCCCTAGCATATGCAGTTCACAGTAGGGTTTGAGCTCCTGTGAAAATCTAATGTTGCCACTGATCTGATAGGATATGGAGCTCAGGCAGTAATGCAAGTGCTGGGAAGAGTCTGTAAATACCGATGAAGCTTCACTGGCTAGCCCACCTGCTCACCTCCTGTTGTGTGGCCCAGTTTCTAACAGGCCACGGAAGTACTGGTCCATGACCCGAATGTTGGGGACCCCTGGGTGTATGGGATGATCTCCCAACCAACTGAACCACTCAGCCAGGGTGTAAATAGGGCTTTCAAAGATGTAATTAAGGATAATAAGGTCATAGAGGTGGGACCCTAATTCAATGGAACTGGTGCCCTTATAAGAAGAGGAAACGCCAGCCCCCTCTCTCTCCCTCTCGTTCCCTCTCCCCATGTGCACAGAGGACACAATGAGAAGGTGGCCATCGCCAAGCCAGACAAGAGAGAATCAAGCCTGTCATCCCTTGACCTTGGACTTCCAGCCTCCAGCACTATGAGACAACAAATGTGTGTTTAAGCCTCCCGGTCTGTGGTATTGTTATGGCAGCCAGGCTGCTTAAGAAACCTGTGAAAGAGTTTAGACTTTGTTCAGGTTGGCGACAAGTTGTATAATTCAATCTTGCAACTAACTCAATTCACTTTGCTATACAGAATGCCACTCTGAGAAGAATGTGGATTTCTATCTCCTTGTTCAATGATTTCTCACCTCCCAACTTTGCCATGCTTGCTAATTAATGCTTGGTGCTGCACAGTGACCAATGTGATCTCACCCTGTCTTCACTGGCAGATCCAACGGCTGACCAGGAGAATCCGTGAGGTGGCCCACCCTCCCCTGCCCTGAAGAGCCCTCCTCTCCTGCATGGAAGGTCTGCTTTGGGCACTTGTCACGGACCAGCAGCAGCTCAGTCTTACCGGCTCTTCAAGGAAGGGATCAAGAGTGATGGATGCGCCCAGAAAATATTTCCAAATTTTGTGCTGATTCTAGAATGGCCATTTTGCCTCAAGGGTGTTTGTGTTTTCACATACTGAGAGTTACTGCATGCGCCCTGAAGGATGATGAGCTGAACTGCCCCCATGCCAGGTCAGGGGAAAAGGAGGGATGAGATGCCTCAGCTCCGACTTTGCCTTAGAGCTCATGTCAGAAGTCGCCTCCTTCAATGGGACTTCCTGGGTCTTCTCAGACCTGGCCTCTCCCACCTTAGAACCTCCACAGTGTTTGGTGTTTTCCTCTGTTTGCAACTTATTTTCTTCTTCCCGTGTGCTTTTCTGACCTCCTCAATTAGACTATGACCTCTTTTAGAGCAGGGTGTGTCTTACTCATCCTTTTATTCCTATAGCTTGAGCACAGATCAGACACAAGGAAGGTGTGCAGCCAGGCCAGTGTGGTGCCTGTGTTGGTAAACGGATGCATTCAGGAAAGCAGAGGCACAACCCCTGCAGAGTCTCAGGAGTGACCCCCTGGCAGTTCAGGCAGGGGGAAAGGTTAAGGAAGGAGTGCTTTTGGGGGAGGGAGGAGACAAAAGGACAGAAACACTGTCATCAGGTGCCTGGAATACATGCATGATTACCAAGAATAGTGCAAATCTGACTGTCTCAGGATGGAAGCACCCCACGGAAGGGATGGTGATAGAGGCACTTTATATGAGAACTATTTAACCCGTGCTGAATGCCTACTGTGCTAGGCTCATTTACACATTACTCTCTTCTCAGACCCATTTTACAAATGAAGAAACTAAGGCTCAGGGAGGCTGGTAAACAGCAGAGCTGGGATCCCAAGCCTGGTCAGACTCTGCACCCAGACACCTTCCTCTAATCTGCTGTGTGACCTCTCTTCACGGGACTCTCTGTGGTAGAGGACACAGATGTGCACACTGCTAGCTCTACAGGGGTGGAAGGTTGAGCAAGGCACAGCTCTACTTTGAAAGAGATCGTAATCTAGTTGTGAGGAAAGAAGGAAGAAGAAGAAAGTGGAAAAAAACAGGTAAGTTAGTACCAGATACGGTGGGAGTTCAAAGTTTCTAGAAGAGTAGTATTGAGTTGTGAGTGAAATGATCAGTCTGGGCTATCCAGAGAATGTGACCTTGAGCTAGATGGTGAAAAGTAAATAGGATTTCAACATGCAGAAGGAATCTGAACAAAATCATACAGGTATTTCACAAATTTGGGAATTTCAGAAAATGTTAAATAGCTGAGTGTGTAAGGAGCAGAAATAGTAGGGGAACAAGTGACTAAATATTAGGAATAAGAAAATAAGCAGGAAGTGGCTTAGTTGCCATATCCTCATTAAAATTGGCAGCCAATTTTTAAAGTAAGGTTGTAGTAGGAATGTGCTGACCAGGTCTGGCCTCTGGGTATGTTGGTTTATGTAATATTTTTTTAATTAGTAGATTTCACAGAAATATCCAAATTTTTAACTTTCTTAAAAAAAACCAGGAGTCTGGGCTATCTTGAGTCCTCCCATCAACAGGACAGTTGGTTAGAGTTCAGGACCCACCCACCGGATGCCAGTTTGCCACAGCTGTTACCATTTCCTAATCTGTAACAACAACCACTTCATTCTTCATTACTTGCCAGCAGACATCTGAGATTATGCCTCCTGACTTAACGTGTAACCTCACTATTTAGCAAAACAAAACAAAACACAATGTCACATAATCACAAAAGAGATCTCTGAGTAACCTTTTTGCAGGTCTTTGCTCAAATGCCCTCCCCCTTATCAGAGATGCCTTCTCTTGAGCGTATTAAAACAGCACTCCCCCAACCACTTTGCTTCATTTTCTTTTCACTTCTCAACAGCACCTGACATGTTATATGTGTGTTTGTCAATTCTCTCTCCTGTGGCTCTACTGTGAACTCCTAAGGGCAGGGGGCTTCCCCTCTCATTTATACAGCTCTCTCCCAGCAAAAAGAACAGTGCCTAGTGCATAATAAACGCTCAGTACATACCTGTTGAATGAACCAATGAGTATGACTAGAATTTGACTCCAGGAAGTGAAATGTTTAGGGTCACTTTAAACATACCTTCTGTGCTTTGGCCCAGAATACATCTTCCAAGTGAGTGGCAAACCCTTCACTCAGCCACTCTTCTGTCCAATCACGGGCCCCAATGGCTAGGCCAAACCAGGAGTGTGCGATTTCATGGCAGAGACGGATCCCACAAAGATGGCTCCCTCCAGTCAAGGCACTCTGAGACAGGAAGACAATGTGTGGGCTGTGGATAATGGTGGAGAAAACACAGAGAGTCTTGTTAGAGCCCGTCGAGTGGCTGCCCCACGGGGTGGCGTGCTCAGTCTGGCACTATTACCATGTGCTTGCAAGATCATGACAGATACGCTTGCAGCTCAGAGGCTTCTAGAAATATAGAAAGCGGCAGTTTACATCTCTGGCAGTGGTTCAAGTTACTGTTTTTGCCAAGCAGTCATCTCCGTCATCAACGGCTATTACCTGTAATAAGTAACCTGCAGCCCAGTTTTACACTGGAGAAACTACAACGCAATGGAAGCGTTTCGGAAATCTGGGCTGTGAAAGAGAGCAGGTGTGAGAGTGTGAAGCCCATGCTGTCAAGAGATGATCAAAGAAGACCCTTTAGCCAAAAATCTGAGCGGCTTACCAACAAATTGACAAGTCATGCAGAAGGACAAGAAAAGCCAAGAAGAGTGGAACCCAAAATTTTCCATTTCTGACAGAGGCTGGTTACCGAGTTAACAAACTAACAGGTGCCAGGAACGGGTGACTTTTCCCGGAGACTCAGATAATAAGTTGAGTCTCCATAAGGCAAAGATCGTCAATGGCATCACCTTCCAGCTGCGGATGCTCACATACTCACGTGGCATAAGAATATTATGCAGAGAGAGGGACAGAAGAGGGAGGTAACCCACCCAGGTGTGCAAACGGCTCCAGGGCTGGCACCAGTCAGGGAGATTTATCTAATCTCATTTTCCACACTTTGTTCTGAAACCCAAAATACCATGATTAGAACTGCACAGATGAAACGGGAGGGAGGGAAGCTAAGGAGAGAGGAGGCAGACAGAATACCGCCTATGCTTCCACCTTCAGCATTTCTCATTATCCAGGACTTGTTTACAGTCTTGTTAATGAAGAGTTTGCTCTTTAAAAAAAAACCTCTCCTCCATAAATTTAACGAAGCAGTTGTGAAACCTCCCAAATTAAGAAAACTGTACACACTGGTTTCGTCCTTCAAAAGCCATTTGTGAGCCAGCATGTCAGCTCAGCACAAGCCAGGACTGCTTACAGATTTGTCCTCCGCCCCCACGGCCACCAGTAGAGAAAACCCCACCTGTATTTCTCTTGCACAACAGCCTCCATTCAGCTCAGAGAGCCCAACTGAAATCACGAAGTCACGTGCCAAAATAGACAGCTTTTATGTGAAATAATAACAGGGCAGACACACAAATGAAAAAGCGTCTGCCAAGCTCTCAGCAGACTCCACCAGAAACTCCAGATAATAAAAGGGCAGTGGGGGCATTTAGGACATGGGGGCAACCACAGTACTTCAGAGCACTAATTCAAGATAAAAAGGAAGGGAGGATGGGAGGAAGGTAGCAAAAAGGGAAAAGGAAGAAGAGAAATGAGAAGCACAGAAGCTGAAAACTTCCCCTTACTGAGAAAGTGGACTGTGGAGAAGACAAACCATGCAACCTAGCACTTTCAGTAAATGACCCCTTGCTCTGGCATGTGCAGTGCTACAAAGAAAAGCCACAGAAATGTACCAAGTAAATAACATTCCAGACATACTGTTGGCAGCACTTCACCCTTTTGGCTAAAACAAAACACAAGTAACATCAGCCCTTATAAACAGCTCAAAGACAAGCCTACATCAAAAGGGTCTGCCAGCCAGAGACCCAGGAGGTGCACAGAGGTTACAGAGACTCTAGGGCTGATCCCTCTGCTCCACCCAGGAAGGATACACAAGCTGATGACTGTTCACGGGGGAAAAAGCCTGCCGTGTCTTTGCTGAGACTGGCTCACTGCTTTCTCCCAGTGGTGAAGCCTATCCGTGGCCCATTTATGCAAATATCAAAGTCTGAGATAGCCTGAAGGAATGCACAAAAGCAGCTAGGTGTGTGGGGGAGGGGAAGGCCTTGTGTGTCCCTACCCTTTAACTGTTCCCCTCCAGCAGTCTTTCTCCAACAGACCTCCTTCCCTACCTACCAGTGACATGGGGAACACAACCCTGGCCCTGGTGCAGCTAGGCTGGGCTCAGGACCGGCCCTGGCATTGCTGGAATTCCACCTAAATTCCCACTTTTCATCCTCAATCCATTCTTCCTGGCTGGGGATAAATATATTTCCTACTATCCTCCGACAAAGATGGAAACTTAAACACCCTCCTACACAGGAAGGAAGGGTGTTTCACTGGACATAAATGACCCAACCTATCATCAGTGGGAAAACATGAACTTCTCTCTGAGAAGCAATTTTGCCATTTGAAAACCAAACCCCAAATCCTCCTGCAGTGGAGTATGGTCTCTAAGATTGGGTTTTACCTGCAGAGGGTTATATTTCCTTATGAAGGAAATGGCTTCTTTCTTAAAACTAAATTAAACCATGAGTGAGATTTTGATAGCCTTTCTCAAGGGCTGTTAACAAAATCCTGACAATAAAACACTTTCAGAGGGGGAAAGGGAAAAAATACTCTTTCAAGGAGAATTTCTTCCTCCGTTTGATCCTAAATATCTACCAGAATTTCTCATATTAAGTAGAATTTTTAAACTTTTTTTTCAACAGTGAGTGAAGAAAAGTATGTTCTTAAGTTCACCTCAAGGAATAATATTAAATATTCCTTTACCATGACCACCTTCAACACAGAATGAGTGGTTTAGAATTTTCTACACCTCCCCTAACCTTGATTTATAAGTGTCACCCCTTGGCTCCTCTCAGAACCTGACTCGCGGTCTACTCAGCCAACAGTCTATCAGTCTTCCCTCTGACAGAGGTGATTTGAAAACAGCTTTCCTTTTTTCTTTCTCCCCTCAGAAAGGGTGTCAACCGCCTCTACAAATGCCAAATTGTTGATTCATCATCATTACAGAGGAGGAAAGATAATCACTAGAATGATATCTTCATCAGAAAAATGATTTTTTTTAATTGCAGAGTTTATCATTTTTCCCCAATAAGAAAAGGGCAGAAAAATAATATTTTCAACCCTCAAAAAGCACACACCCTGTTGCTTGTGTTCTCCACAATAAATTCTCTTTTGCTACAAGTGCTGGAGGAGGACCACAGGGGCAGAGCAGGGCCTGTGGGCAGTGACGTAGAACATGTGTTCTCCTCTTTCCCAGGAGCCCACCCGCGGGGCTGCCCCCCCACAAAGGCCACGTGTTACTGCGTGTCTGCCACCCTGCCCCTCCGAGATTAAAAATACCACTTCTGGTCTGAAAACAGTTTCTTAACACTGTTCCTAAAAACGACTTCCCCACCCAGATGAGAAGGCTGTGTCTGCTAATTTAAAAGACGCTTCTATCAGAGGAGGAAGGAGTGCCTTCATTACTCTCAGGAGCTGCTCCAGTCCTTTGGGAGAAATTCAATTTGGAGCGGAAATGAAGAATTTCATCAGATCTTAAGTAGGAGCTGTTTGTGATTTATTTCTGCTTTGTCCAGGGAGATGAGAGCAGCCTGGGCCAGGGTGCTGCTCAGCACCAAAGGGCTCAGGCTGCCTCAGCTGGTCAGAGCAGGCTGTGGGTGGGACCAAGGGGACAGGAAACAGCTCTTGGTGTAGGACAAGAAGAGCCCTAGGCCACCCTCCCCTTATCCTGAAGCAGATACCAGTTCCCCTCAGGGAAGCAGATTCACTTTTTATACAGAACCCTGGGAGGTGAGTCCAGGAAATGGAGATATGTCCAGGAAATAGACTTAATCAAACTTGAACTTCTCATGGGTTCAGAGTTTTTCTCAATTTCAATGACATGTGGAGCCCAATTTCCCATTATAGAAAAGAAGGAAGAACCAGACAGAGGAAAACTAAGGCTCCTTTCCCTCCAAAGTCAAACTGGATCTAAGTGTCTAATAACCACATGAAAGCAACTTTTGCTTACAGGACTTAATTACTTGCTAATTTAATTTGGAAAACTGTATAGTAGACTCACTGAAGCCTGGGGCAATCTTGAAGGGGGGACAATTGTCCTCACCCCTTAGGTTCAGAACAGGTTTTCTCTTTCCTTCATAAGGCGTGACATGGTATTTGTCAGCACGTGGACCAAATTCTCACTCCTACCCCTTCATCTCTTCATTGAAATCCCTTGGTCCCTCTCCTGGATATAGTCCAATATAGGGGATGTATCTCTTGTCCCAAAGGCAAAGGGATGGCCTGGGTGACCTGGCAGGGTCCCTGCTCCCTTCTAGCTCAGACTGCTCTGTAGGTTCCAGTCACCTTCCTTTGACTCATCTGGCATCCTGCTATAACCACACAGTCAGTCTTTAAACTGCAGACCTTAGTAGGAGACGAAGGAATGTTATTTTGGGAATAGAAGACTTCCAGTAGCTTGAGGTGGAAACCAGATCTAAAAAACTTGAGGAAAACTTACTACATCTGATTAACATGTGGATTTAAGTTTGAGAGAAAAAGATAACACTAGCCAGTGTTTTTCTTTAAAAATTCTGAATAGCAAATATCTACTCATTTATCTAAATGAGTTTTGGTTTAGAATGCCAATGTGACTATAACAGGAAATAACTGATCTACATTCCAAAGACTCCTACCAAAATCATACACTCCTTCTGAAGACTCTTATTATCTTAAGACCCTGCTAGACACTGTATTTCACATACATTATTTTATTTAATCTACCTCATGACCTCAGGAGATAGATTTCATTATCCCCATTTTACAGATGATGAAAGTGGGACACAGAGAAGTTAGTATCTTGCTCGAGGTCACACAGCTGGCAAGTAATGGAGCCAATAATTTAATTCACTGAAGACTTATTCTGGCCCACTCTGACAGGGACACTGGGGTTAGACCTGTGACTCCAGGGCTTGCATCCCTCTGTGCCAGCTGAAGCCCAAGTGGCGCATGATCATTGTTCTCCCTGAACCTCCTTCTTCAGAGTCCACCCAAGGGAAGCCCTGGGACCTCTGTTCCTTAAATTCACATCACAACCAGAGCTGGCTTGAGGTTACCAGGTATTTTGATCAGTGAAGATTTGGTCTCTTCCCGGTGAGAAGGCAGGTAGGAAAGAGACTAAGTCCCTGA